CAGGGGCTACTACAGGGCTACCCGCCTGGATGCCACCCTGTGCCACATGCTCTAGGTGTCCCTGCTGGAGAAGAGGGGTTGGACTAGATCTCTAGAGCTCCCTTCCAACCTCAGCCATTCTGGGATTCTGTGTTACTTCCCTTAGGGAAGGGGGACAGGGTCCCGCAGGAAGCCTGGTTTCGGCTGTCGGTGCCGGTCGGGTCACAGGTAGGGAGCTCAGGCACCCAAAATGACATTAGCGGCGACATGAGCCGAGCCGGAGCGCGGGGGTTTGGGACGAGCAGGTTTGGCCGGTGCCGCAGCTGCAACCCAAAGCCGCTCGATTGCCCAGACACGTTCCAGCCCCGCTCGGAAAACACGCAGGCCGGTCTGTCGTTTTCCATCCTCCCCAAAACATGCCCGAGGGTGGCCGGGAAGGAGCCCGCTCACCAGCGGGGAGAGTGACCGATGTCCCCAAAGTTTAGCACGTTCCCCCTTAACCCCAAAACCCTGGAGGGGAAAAATGCCCCCCCAGCGAGGGAGGGAGACAGCGAGGGCGGGCGAGGCAGCGTCACGGCAATCACCACCCCTGAGCCGTGATCAGCGAGTTCAAAGCCTTCCGATTGCCAGGGAAAAACGTTTCGCTAAACGTTTTTAAATTGATTTGATGAGGCCAATCAGAGAGGGAAAAGAACATCGTGTCTGGGAGGTAATGGGAGATCGTTAGAGGCAAATTGGGAACTTTTTGGGGGCATTGAGGAGACATTAACCTGCGTCGTCTGTGGTCCTCGACCTGCCTGGAGCAGAGCAACATGCTCCTCAACCCGATAAGACCGGCAGTTTGTGCCTAAAGCAGCGAGTGAGGTGTTACCCTGCGGAGAGTTTTAATTTGCACCCTCCTTGTGGCCTTTGGTGGCTTGGAGCTGTGATCCAGCTCTGCAGATCCAGGCTGTGGCTGCGTGCGGAGGTTCTTGACTGCATCCGCGTGCCTGCTGCATCCAGGGGCTGTGGGATAACTAAGAGCATCAGCGATTTCCCTTCATGTTCGCGGGGAAACGCGCTGCTAAACTGTCGGTGCTAAAGGGGCATGGGGCATTTTCGGGGAAACGCCAGGGCAGCAGCTCCCTAAAATAAGTAAATAAGTAAAGAGGGGATTAAATAGGGCTCGGCACCTGGGGAAACATCGCAAAAGGGGGAAAGCGACGCCTCCAATGGCAGCTAATGGGAAGCACTTTGCAGCTCGGAGCTAATGGGGTAACGGGGCTGCTCCGTGGGTTGGTGTTCCCGGGAAACGCTCGGCAGTGCCCAAGCAGCCGCCCCCTCCGCCCGGACGCCGGGGTCCCCGTGTGACTGCCCCAAGACCCCTCTGCTGCCGGGATCCTCCAGCTTTCCCTGGGAGACGGTTGACTCAGGCTCTCGATTCCTCCTCCAGGCAGCAGAGACTTCCTGGGAAGTCATTGCAAAATCCTGCCGGCGCACTCATAGCTCCACCTTTGGAGATTCTCTAGTGTCTGCTGTAGGGTTGAGCTTCCACAGCCTGTGTCCTAGGGCTCCCTGCGGGCTCTCCTCTACCTTTGCAGTTATCAGAGTCCATCCACACCAGGGGCGCTTGGGCAGCAGCCCCATCCCACATCTGCTGGTTGGGATGTATCGCCTTGGGAAAGCTCCGAGACTCATGGCCATCTATCACTGATAATTATGGGCAGGCAATTAGCATCTTGCAAGGGTGAGCCAGGAAACCTCCCTCACGCTGGCATTTTGCTCATGGGAAGGAGAGATTAAATGATCCATAAAGTTTCCAGTGGCAGCCATAAGTTGGCAGTGAGAAGGGTTGATCTGAAGCTGGCGCTTTCCAGAGGTATCCATCTCCCGCAAGGTTATTGGGAAGATTGTCTTGCAATAACCTTTATTTTTATGGGTTTGTTTAAGAGGCAGGAGATTAGCAGGGGAAGGAATTCAGTTTTCCACTGAGCTCTCACGTTTTTAGCAGCACGATGGCTTGCACAGGATGCTGCTGATTTGCAGCGCCGGTGGGTTTATAAGCAGGAGGTGGCCAGTTTGGGGCAAAAATCTGCATTATTTGCTCCCTGTGTTTTCCAGGAGGAGACCCACATCCTTGGGGATGCTGAGAAACATCCCCAGAATTATTTACTCTCCTTTGAACGGGTTTGGCATGGACAGGAGGGTGCAGCCCATGGCGGGCCGAGCTCGGCTGCAGTGAACAGGTGCCAGGCGAGGCTTTTCCGGCCATAAAACTGGGGGCAAAAAACAAAGAGAAAACAATAAAATGAGGAAACAACAAAAAGCCGGAGGGTTCGTGCGGGGAGACGGGGCAAAGATCGGCGCTCGGCCGCGTTCCCGGGCGGCGCCGCCGGGGCCAGGGCCGCTTCCTGCTGCTCAGCTGAGCACCGCCGCCCGTC